TTGAACGTCCTGAAAAGAATCATGGCGTTTCGCTCGGCAGCGATACGACACTGAGAGAAAAAATGGTTAACCTCATCTGAAATTATTGTTATTTTCGAGCGCCAATCTATATCTTTTTACTCTTCTAACAATAAAATAATAGTAGCTGTGCACGATTATCATCACTATACTGTGTGAGAGAAAAAGTACCTATAAAATAAAAGAAAAATATCCGGTGAGTGCTAATAACATATTTATTCAAATTTTTTTTATCTAAATAGGGTTTATTTAATTACTTGTATGACAAGCTGCGATTTTAAGAGAATGTATTTTTACTCATTTTAAACAAAATTTTTCTTCAGTATAAAAATGTATGTATTAAGTCGAAAAAAAAAAATATATATATATATATATATATATATATATATATATTATTAGCACTCAATATAAATATTTATTTTTTAAATATTTGTTCTCTTTTTTTTTATTGTAATATTACAGTAATCAAATATATATGTTCTTTTTATTTTTTTAGTATTTTCTCTCACTGTATAACATTTACTGTAGTAACATTTACTGCAGAAATGAGTTTTCTGATTGTAACTCTTTTACTGTGCGACTATAGTGACAAATACCAAGTACTTTTTTCCCCAGTAGACGTGTGGCATTTTCGTAAACACGAAATCGATACGACGAGATTAATCGAGGAGACGGGAAAAAACGGACAAAGAGATTTATTTACTTGTCCGCCGAACGTGGGAAAAAACGCGGAGTGTTCGTTATCATTGAAATTTTTATGATATGCGATTAACCTTCGGGGGGAGGAGGGGAGAAGGAGCGGGTCTTGTGTATTTTACATACCTAATTATAGATTTCTTCAGATTGTAGTTTCCTCGTAATATTCCGCGTGTTTTGATATTATTCGAAAAATGTGCGTTTATAAAGCAATAATCTTGATTACAGATCGAGTTCTGATTCTGGGTCCGACTTTATGAGAATAAATGTATTAAAAAGATGTTATGTTTCAATGTGTGTGTGTGTGTATGTGAAAATTTGAAAGAGAATTTTATATATGTTTTAATTCATTTACAATTGCTGTATTATAAAATTACTCTCACAGACATTATTAATATTTGTGCCATTATTCCTTCTTCAAGACTACGATGATGTTTGTTGCTTACATTAGTATCGGGACAATTTCTTTCGACGTTTATTATCGAAATAAACTTTCTTAAATAAATAAAGGCTGCTCTAGCTTGAAATAATTCACAATTAGAACTGCTACTTTACCGAAATACTTAATCGGATATTCATATACCGGCTTTACGTCCGCTTCCGCTTCATTCCTCGCGTCTGATTATACGCCGCGCTTGTAAGCGACCCTCCGTCGCTGAAGTCACTTCACTTCACTTCACATCACTTCACTTCACTACACTTCACTTCACTTCACGAAGCATATATTCTACATAGCACGCACGCGTGTGCTCGCAAACTCACGTAACCGCTCACGCAAAGAAACACTCTCGTTCGTAGTGTCGGTTGGTCAGAAGAAGGTGCAGCGTGAAATGAACTATTGTTCCATCGTTCAGACGCTTTTACTTGAAATTGATCTAATTTTGCGCAGTAAATCTCAGTGCCGCCGACAGAAGAAAGTAATTCTTATCTGTCGTCGATAATAGAAGATGCGACAGGAATCTTTTTTGCCCCCTAACGAATCTATATTTCAAATATTTTTTCTTCCAATTGTAGAGACAACTGAATTGAATCAACTCAAAATGCAATTCGCACTGATCAATCTTCAACCTCGCGTTAGTACAATCGCAATCGTGTTTTCTCACCTCGCTTTTTTCTCACAACGTATATGTAGTGACAAAGAACGTCGATTTTATCGACTCAACTCAAATGCTCTATAAATTCGCGGAAATCCATTATTCATTCCTAATAACGTAAAACATCACATCATAACGTTACACATCATACGTTCATTAATGATGGGATAATGTAAACGCATCTTCATGAGCAATGGTACGCGTCTTTTTTTACGACTGACAGCCTTCGTATCGTACGTACAATAATTACGCTCAAGTAATTCGGCTCATTGACTCTTTTTTCATTCTACATCCTGCCACCGTTGTGGTCCATTCACCGATCCCGTCGACGAAATAACCTCCGAGTATCTATTCGCATTCTGCATTCTGCACGTGTGCGTGTGCGTGAGGTATATATGTGTGAAGGAAGCAGAGTGCAAAAGAGATCGTCACTCCGACGAAAGAAAGAACCATAGAACAGAGCACTAAAAATCGTAGAAACGAAGAGGGAGAAAAACTGTCCTCCTCTCATTTTTCTCGCGTGTCTTCCTTTCTCTTCCGCTCTCGCGCTATATGAATCTTACGTGAAGAATATTGTGCGAAGGGAGGCGAAAGATGCAAGAGAAGAGAATTTCCTGTTGTGAACGTCTTCAGACGCATCTGCCTCAGTTTCTGAAGCCCGATCCGCGCAGAAGCGCGAGTACTTCTTGTAGTGCCACTATGAAAAACACTGTACACCTAAATAAAAAATAGGTGCAAATCGCAGTTGCATCAACGAACATATGTGTGAGAAATGGTGACGTTAATTGATTATATACTGTATAGTCTTTTTCCTTGTAAATCGTACAATCACTTTGTTGTATAATCATATAAGAATAAAATACCCAATTATTGATCTCTCTTAGTCATTGGCACTCTAAAAGAGCCTGGTTTTTCTTGCGACTGGTGGCGGTTATTCACAGTTTTAGTCGTTCCTTTTTAGAATCATTGAGTGCAGGCATAAGAAGTTTAACCCTTTGAGGTTAACCCACTAACCTACGTATCGATCCCGTTCGACTATAATTTGTTTCTTCGCAAATTAATCTTAGAAGACGCTGCTGATGAAGAATTTTGCGATCCAAATAAAATTGATTGTCGAAAAATACGATTTTCTGAATATGTATATTTATGCTTGCACGCACACACACATACACACGCCCCAGTTGCAAAATTAAACAAATCTTTTTACCGTAATAAAGGGCACAAAAGCGCCAATCTTGTACTTTGAGATAACAACTATAGGAAAATGGAAAAAATACAATTTGCTTATTGCTTTCGCGAAATACTTAATACAATTTCGAGCGTCAACATTTTTGCTCTGCACACATGATCCTCTATATTGAGTTTTTCAAAGGAGGTGACTGTTTCGCGGGTTGCGACGGAGTATATAGCGCTATCTAGGACAAAACGATAGTATTATATCGACGGAATTTCGTTATTTTGCCGACATAAAAACTTTGGAGAGGACCCAACGTGAATGTACATAATTGTATACACTGGGTCTTAAAAGGTTAACTGAGATGCTGGTCGCATAAAGTTTTTTTTAAAGCGTAGTAACCGAGGGGATATCAATAATCGGATGTTTTACCGCGTAATCTGTTCGTAATCTGCGGCGTTCAGAAAAGTGGAACCGGCCGAAAAAAATATATATATCCAACGCGTTCCCGATATACTATATGGTTGATAATCTCAGCTTCGGCTTTCGTACATCTCCTTGATGACGACAGACTAGATAGCTTATCGTCTGACGTCTGCGAGTGCACATATCGGGCACAAGGTACGGCTATCTTTGTCACGTTCCCGTCGTTTTATTCTCTCTACCTCGGCGCGATCCTTCCTTCTTTCTCGCGGATCCCTCCTCGCGCATACTGTATATGCTTTACGGTCGTTCACACGGGTACGAGCGATGGAATGCACCGGCGTCGTCGCAGTACACGCGCTCGCGCGCGCGCAGGTTCGTGTCGAGGAACCGTTAATGAATCTTGCAGCTCTCTTAGACCGCCCGTGCATTGTCGGACATCGCGAACGGTGCAAAAGGGAAGGAGCGATATGACGGAAGACACGGTGATTGGTACGGAACGAGGTTAGATCCTCTTCCGCGGCAGCACCAGGAGAAAAGAGCGCGAAGCTCGTTGTGTTTACGAGCGGAATGCCGCGTGTCTGCGCCGTCAACATGAATCGTGCGTGTACATAGTTTGCTTCAACTTCTTATTATCGCCCTCCTCGAAATTTCCGGCGAAATTTCAAAATTTGTGATAGCGTGACGGGCTGAGATCGTCGTTCTCTTTTTTTCTTACTTTTACCTTTGAAAACTTAGTATTTGGAACATCTACTCATGACTCTCAATGTGCATCACTAGTATTGCAAACTAGATGTCCATTGTTTATTTCTCTAAAAACGCTCTCCGCTTTCTCTCCTCAACCAATTCTCTCGCGTGCAGTCGCTTTGAAACACACATTATTATTGCAAACGCGATAAAATGCGTGTTTCGTTGAGCGTCGAGCGTAGACGCTCGTTAAATATCGAAATTGCGTGCAACTGTTGGTTGATTCTTATTTCCGTTTTTTTTTTCGTGAACTTGATATAATTCTCTTACGAGCCTTTCTGCTACGAAAAAGAGAAAAAGAAGGGAGAAAGAGGTGTATCAGTGCCAGCAGACCCAAAGCACGCCGATACCGGCGGTCTTGAGAAAGAGAAGACGCGAGAAAAAGAGAAAGAGAGAAACAGCCGCCACCAGGCCGGTACGCAGTTGCAGCTCTGTTTGGCGGCAGTCCGCTTCTGAGAACTAACGGGTTTGCTTCTTTCCCTTGCAGCCCCCCCTGCCCACCACTCGCGGCAACGCATCGCATACTCTTCGCCGTCCGTTCGTCCGTCCGTCCATAAGTCCGTACACCCGTACGTCCGCGCGCCGTACCCTCTTCTCTCCCCCTACTCTCCCTCCCTCCCTCCCTTCTCTCTCTCTCTCTCTCTCTCTCTCTCTCTCTCTCTCTCTCTCTCTCTCTCTCACAACTTGCATCGCGCCTGCGTTTGCGCTGCCGCTTGCGCGCGGGCGAGTGAGCGAGCGAACGAACGAACGAGCGCGCGCGCACCGCGCTGGTTTACCGCGTCGTGCGCAGTAGCGATCGCGCATCTGGCGTCTGCGCGCTAGTGCGAGCGTGACGCACTAGTGATCACTCTTAGTGTGGCGCGAGCCGTCGTGCGGTTCGGTGGTGTTGTTGTTGCTCCGTACACGGCGTCGTCGGAACACGAGAGACGCGCGGTTTCTTTTTCTTTTTTTTCCTCGGTCGCGTTCGGCCATACGGAACGCGCACGTGTGTGTGTCAGTGTCCGCACAGACGTTTAATACACGGTGCGATCGTGATGGAGCAATTATCGGGCCGCTCTTATTATAGGCCTGTATCGCACCGCGATCAACGGCAGATATATTAAGTGTTCAGGTTAGTTTTGAGGGCTCACTATAGATGGCCGTAGCTACAAAGCACCTACTAGAGATATTTTGAAAGTTGGTATGTCATTTCAAAGCTTGGACATTTCTACAAATAATTTGACAAATGTCATGCGCATTCACAAACACAACCAAAAATGCAACGTATTAAAAAACATTTTCGTCACTTATTGCTTTACTGTTTTGATTTGAAGAAAACAGCTGCCGAAGCTCACCGATGCATCTCAGAAACTTATTTTGTCTGCTCCATCAGTTAAAACATGTGAGTACTGGTTTTGACGATTCAAAAGTGGTAATTTTCATTTGAAAGACAAAGAAACGTTCAGGTCAGCTAAAATAGTTCGAAGATACCGAATTACAGGCATTGTTGAATGAAAACTCAATTTAAACGCTTCGAGAATTAGCTGAAGCATTAAAAGCTGGTAAATCAACCATTTCTGATCGTTTATACGCAATGGAAAAAATTAAAGAAGAAGGCGAATGGGTCTCAAATAAATTATCTAAATTGGCTATTCAAAATCGTTTAACCGTTTGCACTTCATTGCTTTCTCGTCATAAAAAAGTAGTTGTATTAAATTGTAACTGACGATGAAAAAGGGATCTACCATGATTTACTATAATTCTAAATATAAAAAATCGTGAGTAAATCTAAGCCAATCATCACTCGAAAACACAACATCCACGGAAGGTTTTATTGTGCATTTGGTGGGATATGAAAAGCGTCGGGTGTATTATGAGGTACTGAAACCGAATCAAACAGTCACTGCTGAGCGTTACCAACAATTAATCAATTTGAATTGTGCTTTGAACCAGAAACGTCCAATAATAGCAATAAAGAAAACGCAAAGTGATTTTGTTGCACGACAATGCTCGACTATACGTTGCAAAAGCAATTATAGAAACGTTATCGACACTTCAGTAGGAAGTCTTACCACATGCCGCGTATTCACCAGATTATGCACCTTCAGATTATCACTTATTTCGATCGATGCATCTTGCTGACCAGCACTTCAAAACGTATGAAAAAATGGAAAAATGGCTCGATGAATGGATTGTTTCGAAGGACGAACATTTTTTTTATCGCAAAATTCCCTTATTGCCAGAAAAGTGGGAAAAAGTTACAGCTAGCGATGGAAAATATTTTGAATAAAATATAATTTAACGTCTTTCTAAAGAAAACTTTTTTTGCAAAAAAATCCCTCAAAACCAACCGGAACACCTAATGTATATTCAGTGGATAGTACAGAGAGCAGAGACACGAATTATTGCACAGTGGAGACGTGCGGGAAGCGGCACGGGCAGCGCGTGGTATGAAAAAATGAGTCGAAAAGAGAAAGAAAGAAAGAGAGAGAATAGATCTGTATTTTTTCCACGGCGCACACTGCAGTACAACACTTTCGATGTCGATGAGAACGCATCGCGCTGGACAAGAGAGAAGGCGTCAGCATTCTGCGAGAGGAGAGGCCCACACGAAACCGCACATGAAATGGAAGCGCACGAGTGCGAAACGCCACGGAAAACTCTCACGGAAGTCGTTTCTCAGGCTCGGTCTCCCACGTATTTATCAGCCGAGCGCTAACGATCGGATATCGTGACGCGGGCGCCATGCGGGTGACGAAACTACGGCGCGCGTTCGCCCATTCGCTACGCCGCGGTGGTACGTCCGTCCATCCGTCTGTCTGTCTGTCTGTCTGTCCATCCATCCGTTTGTCCGTTGGCCCGTGTGGCTCCTCGAAAATGCGTACGTTTACGTGACACGTCGTATGCGTGCTCGGCGGCGGGGTGACGTTGTTCCTGGCCTCGTGGGAGGAAATCCGCTCTCGTTCATCGCTGTAACCTATATAAATCGAATGGGCATGGATCAGAGGCCGTCAAAAGTTGGAAGCAGAGAGAAAGAGAGGGAAAGAGAGATGGAGAAGCTTTCCTCGAAAAACACGAAAAACGTCAACGAAAAGTAACGGAACAAAAAGAGGGGCGCCCTTTGACGTGTGACGTGGTTTTTTCGCCGATAGTCGCGGACTGTTTCTTCTGCCATTTGAGGTACTAATGGCCCCCGTAATGCAATCACGCTATACTACGGTACGCCATAGTGCCGCGGAGACTTCCGGCCCGCCACAGGAAGCGAGACACACGTGTTCGGGCGTGTGTGTTCCCATAATACGATCGCACTCCCTCCCTTTCCTCCGTCCCTGCCTGTGCCTCCCTTCCTCGTCCTTTTTCCCTGCCGGCTCCTACTCTACAATACGTTTTGCATTCGACGGTCCTCTCAGGAAAAAAAAACGGACGCACCGTTCGCTCGCTCGCTCGCTCGCTCGCTCGCTCGCACGCCCGTCCGTCCGTCCGTCGCAACACGCACGAAGAAAAGTGAAACGGAACCACGAGCGAGGAAAAACCGGCACTAGAAAGATAACATCGATACGAACACGTACGTAACGTTTCTCATTAACTTCGCACGCTTCTAATTGCCTCTTTAACCATATTCTTTTCTGAGAATACAAGAAGAGAGAGAGAGAAATAGTGAGGAGAGAGGGGGGGAATGACTTATACGTACAATCAAAAGTGTGAGAGCTAATAAGTAGCTTTGTTAAAAAAAAAATCGTTCAAGTGCCACACTTGGACATGAGGGAGGATGAATAAAAGATATATTTGATTTTCCTATAATTTTAACGTCACGGCACGCACGTTTCCCGCAATCGTGGGAAATTGATTGTTCTCGTGTCGTTTTCCTAAAACACATTTTTCCCTACATCGGATTTGCAACATTCGTGCTCATTGCTGGCGTGCTTCACTCGAACGATGGAAGCACAATTTTTCTGTACGGCCATGTTATGAATGAATCTGTAATATTACATTCATATTTCTGTCCATGTGAAAGAAGCTTCTGTCTTTATTCGTGTCGGATTACGTACCGGTTAATTGAACGAAATACATTTTTTTCCGTACGGCTGTGTTATGAATGAGTTTACGACGTTACATTCATATTTCCCGATGTGTGCGGTGCTGCGTCTGCCATGCAGAGGTTCTCAGCCGCGATTGTTTCTTCAGTTGTTCGATTTTCAATAATCTCCCAGTCGCGAAAAATTGACAGCACGCTAATTTCATTTTAAAACACGCATCAGGATTCTACGAAATCCGTTCAGAATTATAGAAATTCTTAAAACTACGGGCTTTCTTCTGACATGCTAGAATATGAGTTATAACTTGGACATTTTGTTGCCCAGTACCAGTTATGCAATATCAGTAAGATGTATCATATCAAGGAAGATGATCAACCAAATGATCTCGATGTGTTAATAAGCTATTTTTCGCACAAAATTACATAAAAATGTATGAATATGACTTAGAGCGCTTTTTAAATATCTAGATTTCTTTTTCTCTTTTTATTGTAATATTTTCTTTAGAGAAAATTTTGTAAAACGGCATACAAAATATATCTAATTTTTATTTATCGTGAATTTAAAAAGAAATGCAAGTTTCCAGTAACGAAATTGTAAATGTGACGGCATGAAAATGTTGGAGTGACGTAAATTATATTGCTATCTCGGTGCATTCGCAAGCGGGAATCCACGCTCGTGTAATCTTAAGGCTCGTTTACAATAGTTGAAGTAAGCTTGGCATAAAAGTTGGGGTAACAAATAAAAATAATTTATTTCTCTTATACAAGAAAAGTGTGATACTTCTCCGGCGTGAGAACGCATAGAGACGTAAATGAAATAAATTATTTTTATTTTATACTCCAACTTGTACCAAACTTACTTCGCGACGATTGTAGACGAGCCTTTAGTCGCGTTTGTAAGCGCGCGCACGTCGACTCGGTCAATGTATCCTCTTGTAGCGCTCATCACATTCCTAAATATCATTGTCGTGCATTTTTTCGCGTTCGGCCCGCGTGAATCCTACTCACCCCTTACGTCCCCCTTCTCCTTCCCTCTCTGTCTCTGTCGTTTTTGCGTGAGAATTGAAACCGGTATAATTTTGGCGAGTTTGAGATTCCGGCTGTGCGAACGTGCACAAAAACAATCGCCACGTTCATTCGCAACGATACACGTGGTAGGGCCCGTTTTTTCCCCCTCGTATCCGTGGCATTAGAAATGAAACTGTGCGACTGGAAACTCGTGACCGGAAGCTATACACCGAGAATTATATCGATTCCGCTCTATAAGAATAAAATAATAACTATCTCGTGCCGAGATGGAAAACCGAGCCATATGTGTATGATGTGAGTCAGGTTTCACCGACACTTTTTTTCTTCCAACATTTCTTTTCCTACTTTCATCTTATTTACGACATTTTCTCTCTCCTGCTCCTTTTTCGTAGAATCGTCGCGCGGTTCATCGTTTAGAGCACACATCGCACACTATTCATCGACGTCATGCAAATGCACTCCTTCCCCCTCTTTCTGCGTTTTACTTCTCGGTGCGCTTTAAATTCTACTTAATTTCCGTAATTGGTAACGAGTCGCGCGCGCGCGACACTCGCCGGCGAGTAGGAGCTGCGAACGTTAGACTCGCAGCGCGCGCGCTGAGCCCTTTGTTTTCTATAGTCCCGTCTCTTTTTCACGGGAGGCCCTCTCGTTACCGCTCGGCCGACGGCCGCTCGTTCTCTCGCCTTCGTTCTCGCAAAGCTCGGCTGAGCGCGCGCTGAGATATTCTCTAGATATTCTCATGTGTATGTTAGTATTATGGTTAGATGGTGGGCCGATCTCTCGCCGCCGCGCGAGTCGTGAATGCGTGTGCCGTAGGAGGCTGAGTTAAGGACAGGTACCGGTGGTGGTATGCCGTCTTCGGGCCGACCGCCTACGAGTTTCGACCTCCGCGTGTTTCGTGCCTCTCCCCGATGAAATCCAAACACTTGTGATTCGTGCCGCGCGAGAGAGCCACGCCGCTCCGAACGTCTTTGTGAATAACAAGAACGCGGGGGAGAGGCGTTGCTCGCCGCATTTATCGAAATGTAGCGAAATTAGAAAGTAATGAGGATCTAAGTCAACGCGTTTTTTACTGTGATCCCTATTGGTGGAGCCACATTTCTTCGTCACCCAGTAAGTGTGTGATAAAAATTAAGCTACTGACTTTGTGTGAATTATTATACTATTTTGCGTAACGTATATGAAACGTGCCACGAATGGTAAAGAGAGAAACGTTACTCAACAACACAGCATTAAGCACAATGTAAAAAAACAGCTATGTCAATACAGTGCAGTTTCATTTACGATTTGGAATTTATCTCGTGGCACAGAAAAAAGTAACGCTATTTTCTCTCTACGATAAACGTTTCACACATCGTTACACTTTCTGAAGTAATTTGAAACTGAAAAACTGGACCCTAAGGGATATAAAAAATGGTGGGTGTACAGAAAAGTGAACCGCGCTGTCGGGTAAGTTTTACTTTGTAAACTGTATTTCAAACATTTTTGCGCATTTTCTCTGTTCGTCACGGCCCATTTTATTTATTTCGCAACTCATAGTTTTTGCAAAACCCTGCTCTAGGATATACAGTCGTGCGCTAAAAAAATCCAGTCTTGTCGATAAGCTTTAACCGCTAGATGTTATCGAACTTTAGTCTCTTTGGTATGATCATTGGCAGAAGTCGACAGACGTCAAGCGTTTACATTACAAGATCCTAAGGCCTGTATTGATGATCGTTACTTGAAACTTGGCTCAAGCGAGATGCACAGATTTGAATCTAAAGTTAGGTGTAAATTTTTAGTTGAACTGTGAAATTACCAATATGTCACATGTATCATGTATTTCAATTGAAAAACTCAGATCCAACTTTAAATTCAGATGTGAGTACCTTACATGAGACAAGCTGCAAGTAAAACGACTATAAATATGAACCTTAGAGTTAGATGTAAGCTTTTCACTTAAATCGCAGGTCGAACTCTACATTCAGATTCTAGTGTCTCACATGAGATCTAAAAAAGTATGAATCTGAAGTGGATAATTCAACGACGATCAAGTATTAGATGTTAGAGAATAGTGATACATTAGGCACGCGATTAGGTGTGTGCCGATTTGTTTGATTATTCGCTTGAATAACTCGATATATTCACAAATTTGCAAGCGGAAACAATCGTATTAGCGCGAAATATCGTGTCGATACAGCGCATCGGGACTGAATTAGCAAGAAATAAAGAATATCGCATTTTGTAGCCGCACACATATCATTTCGGGGCCACGGTCCGAGTCTTGTTTACGTCGCTGTACAGAAGGGCCTCCGGGGCCCGAGGCGAAGGGGTCTGGGCAGCGTGAGAGCGGGCGCCTTCGCTGTGGAGCATTTAGCACTGTGGGCGCTCCTCACTGCCTCTCCTTTCCTCTTCGTCTCTCATCTCTTTGCTCTTTTCACCCTTCTCTGGCTCTCTTTCTCGCTCTTTCTCCCTCCTTCACCCCCTACCTTTCTTCATCCATCTCTCTGTCGCGCATCGCTGCTATCGGCACCTCTCTCTCTCCTCTCTCTCTCTCTCTCTCTCTCTCTCTCTCTCT